AAAAAAAATGCGCAAGTAGTATTTTTTTGACCTTATTTTTATACGATAGAAACCCAACATCGCATCTAGAAGGTCCACTCCACCCATATACTTATTATAAATGAGGACACTCTTTGGACAAGGTATCATCTTATGTGCATTCTCTTGCTTGAAAAATCTCCGCTTTTCTCCTACTGGTTGACTTCCTGCATACGTTGGCAAAGTGGTGACTACTTTGTTATCAAACCAAGATACAACACTAATGACCTCACCATTTATAGTAGCTATTTTTTCAACTAAATGACCTCTTCCTTTTTCTTTCATTACCTTCTCGGAAGGCGTTGCAACTCCTGGGACTCGATTCAATTTCACCGTCCCTAAGGGTAGTATACCTTCAGTAGTCAAATAAGTCATGAGTGGAACACTGGAGAACCAATTGTCAAAAAATAATTTGAAATTCTGGTGTCTTGGTATATATTCAGATAGCTTCACAACAACATTACTACTAACACTAAGAGTTGGACCTCCTAGAGGTACAGTTTTGCTTTGTGCTCCTGCAAACAGATCGAAATCATAACTAAAGCCAGATATACCGCTGAGGACAAAATTTTTTAAACCCCATTTATGTGGCTTCTTCGGATTATATTGTTTGAGTTGTTGGAATAATCTGTTCATCGTCAGCAAGATACTCTTCTTTCTCTTATTTGGGTAACAAATGGCCTAATCTTGAACAATTTATCGTATCCAGTTTGACTGTTTCCAGTCATGTCATCATTGTTGTTGAAGTGTAAGAAACGCTTTATCTCTTCAAATCTATTACAGCTCATCATGTTGCTCACAGCAGGATGGCCGATCGTACCTATTATGCCAGTAATGCCTTGTGCCCGGCAGCTGAATAAGGGACATGTACATGGTAATACCGATAAATTGCTCTATTTCGAACTCTTTTATATTAGCAGGTTTATTTGGACGGCACTGTACAGAATAAAGGTTAGTCTGTTCACAGATATACTTTATAAGGCTATCTGGGAAAAGCAACTTGAAGAATTGGATAGGAGTTTCTAACTCTGATATAGAAAAAGGCAAATCCTGGGAACCAGTAAATTTTATCTCTTCTTCAGGTCTTTCGAGATTTCCTTCTACCCAATTGTATACTTCTTTCCTCTTTTTCTTTTTTTCAAGTCGTTTTTGTATTGTTGATAAGGGTATATTATCATCTGAAGAATCAAAGTCATCAAACTCTCGATTCATGATACTGGCAACATCATTGTCTAAGGGAGTTTCTCCAAAATTACTATCCACAGGTAATTCAACACCTAAAAGGGGTTCATCATCCTCATCAGATAAATCGGAATCTTCACTATCGATACAAGGAATTTTTACGGCAGTCATCTTGCCACAAAATACTTTGGGATCCATACCTGAAAACATGATCATATTGTCAGGATGATCTATCATTGCATGATGTGCCATATAAGGTACATACTTGTTTCCAGAATTGTTCATTAGTTCTGAGAAACTTTTCACTGCTGAAATTACCTAGAGATGTTTTTAATATCACTGTTGAACACTCTATAATTTTTTCTCGGTAGAAAAATACTTTCAAACAAGAGTAAATAGACAGCAAAGATCACCCCAAGCGTGACAAATGAAATGTCTAACAAGGATGAACTTGAAGACTCCTTCCAATGCACTCGTTGATAAAATAGTCCGGCCGTGATGTGTATGAGATAGATTGGTTCGTGCGATAAAATTCGTTCTCAAGTATTATAAATCAAATAATTTTCGCTTTGTACCATATTTGGCACATGATGCGGTAAAGGGTTAATTTTGTCAAGTGTGCCATGGATAATAATTTATTTATTTATGTAAGCACACAGAAAGAATGATTTTTTGACGAATCTAACGTTACTTTTTTATCTGCATTTGGATCAACAAATTTGATAAAATTAACTTATAATTTCAGCGATGCACTTACATTTTTTGCAATATCCTGATTTCTTGAAAATTTAACTATAGTAAATTTTCAAAGTGCATTCCTCCTTGATCAAGACACATTTCAGCTCTTTCAATTGTTTCTCTCAACACTATTCCTAACATTTGATTTCTGATCCAGAATTGTCTCCTATATTCAAAGATATTACAATGTCCATTAAAAAATTTAGAACCGGAGCCATACCATTTACCTATACCAAATCTCATTTTGATAAACCTAATAATCTGAAAGTATAGCTTGTCTAATAGATTCGTTGACACCAGGTATTCACCCGCAAGTACGCACGCACATGCGAACACCCACAAATGCACGCACGCGAGTACGCAAGTGTAAAACGTAAGAAATGAACAAGTGTTAAAATTCGAAATGTAAACTGTTTTTAAAAAGTCCCAAAGCAAGGCTACGAGCTACGACACAGCAAATCAGCGCAATCTTCGAAGACTCCGTGGAGGCTGGCTCGATATATGATGCGCCTGTTGCACGGTGCATCAGATACCACCATGTGCTGGTGGTGATATCCGACATACAGGAGACTGGCCAGATTGTCGATGTCATCGATGACTGCCGATAAGAGTTCGCCTTATCCGAAATTCTCATATATTTACGCAGCTCCGACCGCTTCGATTTCGCTATCAGATCCATCAGCTTCGACTCGACGACATACCCTCCTCAGCCAGTTGGGGACCACCAAACTCATCCTTGTCACTATCCATTACCTCCTTCTTGCTGGCACTCATTGGCCCTTCTTTGCACCTTTGTGAGTGCTTCTTGTTTCAGAAGGAGTGGTTGAGGGAACATTCTCCATCCAGCTAGTCCCAGGTCTTGGAGCCGTCACCAACACAGCTTCTTCAGGAAAAGGGCTCACTGCACAACCACATTTCGTAGGACGTTCACCTTACCCTCTGCGGATTTAACGGCATCAGCAGAAGAAGACATACTTCACACTAGAATTTCCCAAAGTAAATATGATGAGACAATAATAAACATTACTAATCTACTTGCAGATGAAAATGAAGCTACAGCTGAGTTCGATAGATATTCGAGGGCAGTAAGCAGTCTCACTTTTGATAACTAAACCACTTCTCCTCAACCCCCTACACTTTCCACCAATACTTCACCTGATACAGGGACTGACTGCTGAGTCTGGCAACATTATGATACTTCAATTTTGTAGATTATATGGCTAGTTTGATATTATCGTTTTTACCATTATGTAATGTCTTTATACACCCTCAATACTTTGTGATGTAATTGGAATGAAAAATGATATATTGTATCGAATCTGAAGCCGCCCCTGACCGATATGCCTTCCAGCCAGCAAACACATGACATCACCGCAAAAGGAATGCAGTCGACAACTACCGGTTAAACTTCAGTTGAGTACCGAAACAACTAGAGAATTCTAGAACGATCGTTACCGGTATATCAGGTCGGCTTCTCGTCCCAAGAGGAAGTTGAATTCAGAAAGTGAATCGAGCGGTCAAACAAGGAATTAAAATAGTGGAAATAAATTAATCGTTAGTTGCCAAGTGTTGTTAATAAATTAGTTTGTAATAGTGAAACATTGTTGGAAATTAATTTGTTCAAGACATTTAATTCTACAATTTTTTACAATAGTATACCCGCAGTTTTAATGCGGGTTTAGATTCA